AGTGGCAGAACTGAAATAAATAACTATAACCACGGTACAGAATAGAACAGAACAGGGGTCACTAGAGTAACAATCAGAACAAGGGTCAATGGATCCATGACAAACAGGGGAATACAAGGTGGTCAAACACCACCTCAATGGTTATTTAAGTCTTCTGAGGCATGAGACTTCTGTAGTGGTACTTACAGAAAATAATTGTTTACAAGATCATTGTCAAATACTTTCTAAACAAACATGTCCATGAGTTTTAATTTACTCAAATAGAGTTTAAAAAATAATTCACGTAATTGAAACATTAACCTAACCATAAATATAAATTATATAAAATGAATTGTGGTAACTCAAAACATTCATAAAATATATTATGGTAACTCAAGACATATAGAAAACATATAATAGTAACTCAAGGTAAAACAAAATTCACCTTTAATATAAATTTATCCCTATTCTTCCCGTTTTATCGAACCTCCCGTGTTATTTCTTTTTCTACTCTTTTCAATGATTCCCTTCCTTGCTTCTACTATAATGCCCTATTTATATGTATCAATTCTTGGAGCTTAAGTTAATTTCGTGTTCTCATAAAGCGCGACCTGGCTCTTGACTCTTACCTCGCCAATTGACCAAAGGTCATCTAGAGATTAGTGTTGGCCTTACCTAATTCAATGGCTCTAGAAGATTAGGGTTGGCGTCATCTAATTTAATGTCTCTAGATGATTAAGGTCGGCTTCTTATAATTCTAAGAGTTGCCGCCCTCTTTGATAATCCACAATGATCTCAAAAATTTCGTATGATTATAGGTTAGGTTCGTGCCTAAAAACCTCACTACCAAACTATAAAACATCACTTATCACTTTCTAAAATATTGAACGTGTGTGTGGTGCCTCACAATTTACTTCCTTAACAATTTAATCGATAAATTTCCAATTTCCTAAACTATGCATTTATTTATTTACTTATTATTATTATTATTATTTTATTTTTTGAGTCCTTTTTATTGCAAATTTTGAATTTTAAAAAAAGAAATTTCGGGTGTCACAGTTAAAACAGATTGTAGATTATAACTTAACAGATTATAGGTTGTGACTTTAATTAGAAATTATTAATCTGTTTGGTGTACCTGTTGGAATCTAAATTTAAGTTGCTGAGTAGTGTTTATTAAATAAACTGTGAAATAATTTTTTCAATTAACTTTTATTTTTTATTATTCACTACTTGTCTACATTTTTCATAAATAATAATAATAATAATAATAATAATAATAATTGATAGTCTATTTGAGTCCTTTTTTTTATTTTTAAAAATATAAAAAATTAAAAAATTAAAAGTATAACCGTAAATTAATATGTTCACAACAACAACTGATAAATAGAAATAAAGGGTAAGCAACTTTTCAAAATCAATTTTTTTATGCTAAGATAAATTATTAGAATAAAAAAGGGAGATTTACCAATAAATTCCAAAATTTGAACTTATGAACCAATTGGTCTCATTTTTATTCTATTAAACCGTTTAGTCCCATTTAATTGTGAGGGACGTAATTACCCTTATGTATCCTATATTTGATGCGGCTGGGGGCTTCAAGATTGGGTGATGCGCTTGTGTGGCTCACGTGCGCGATTAGTAAAATGGATGTGTGGTGTGTTGCATGTGATACACTGCCATGGCGTCACACAATGGCAAACTGCTGTAAGGGGTTTTTATTTGGGCTGGGCATTCTCTCATTCTCAGCATTCTCTCTCTCTCTCACATAGAGACCCAGCCACACACATAGCTCCTCTCTCTAGCAGACACAAGACGCCATTAACACACACAGCAGCAGATCGAACACATGTGATTCCATATCGAACACATCGAACATCATCGAACACATCATCATCCGAGGGCGATGGCGATGGCTTCAACACATCGAACACACTGATACATCGAACACACCGAACACACTGATACACGCAAACACACAGATAAAACACATCGAACACCATCGAACACACATGTGATTCCAGATCAGACAAATCGAACACACTGATACACACACACACACAGATGGAAGACACTGATACATGCAGACACACAGATGGAACACCATCGAATGCGACCTGGGGAATCTCTCAAATAGTCTGGACCGCACCGACCCAGATCTCGGAGGACGGTTCTGGTTAAAGCTCTGGTTCTAGGTCCAGTCCAGCGCCTTAGGAGGAGGAGGAAGATAGTCTTCTTCCGGATCTTCAACGACCCGGATCGAAACTTCATCGGTTGGGTTTTGGGGGCTCTGGGTTTCCTCCGGAACATCGATCTGGAGATTGAAATCTGAAATTTGCAGAGTCTCACCGGGTTAAGGAACGAGATCGGCTCGGCAAACCGGACAAGTCACATGAGAATTGAGCCAAGCATCGATGCATTCGGGGTGAAACACATGGTCGCATTTGGGGATCAATCTGAGATTCTCAACGTCTTCGAATTCATTGAGACAAACACATGGTCAAGCCCTCTCAAACACACTGATGCACGCAGACACACAGATGGCTTCAACACACACTCACACACACACACACACACACTAATACACACACACACACGCAAATCTCTGAGGGTGTGCCACACCGGAATGAAAGTGGGACCAAATCAGTGAACCAAAAATGACAGTTTGTAAATCAATGAAAGGGCACTCTCGTCCACAGAGTAAAACAAAAAAGAAAAAAAAAAACAAAAAGGACCAAATCAACACACCAGCAGGACTATTGGTATAATAGAATAAAAGTGGGACTATTTGGTATAACAGTTTGTAAAGTAGGATTTATTGGTAAATA